TGAGTTCTTTTGCTTTATAACACATTTTTAATGTAAAGTAAATGTTATAGAAAACTTTAAAAAGGAGTTTTAAAAAATGCTAATGTTAATCTTCAGAATGTACTTTCCACTGTTTTAACCCTACTCATTTCCACACCCAGCAAATGCATTTTTTTTTTTTTTTCCTTTTTCCTAACTATCAATCTCTGAACAGACTGTGGCCGACAACACACACGCACAGGCACTCACACAGAGGGTGCAGCCCAGGGTGTGGATGGATGCTCACTTCTGGGAGTGCTGTAGCAGAAGGGCCTGTATTTGCTGGCAGGGCCTCTACCTGCAGAGCTGGAGCCTGTGCTAGTGATGGCGTGCTGGGCCAAGTGATGGGCTCATGGAATTATTCTGCACTCCTGTTTTTCTTCAAACAAGTATTCTTAAAAACTGCCACTAAAATAGAAAGCTTGGCACAGTGTTTATATAAATGAAAACAAGCTATTTGTAGTTAAACTAGGTGAGAAAAAGTGCAGCAAAAAGTATAGTAAAAGGAATATAAATTAACACTGCTGTCAGTGCCACAGACTTTTGGTGAGAGAAGTAGAAAAAGAAAGGCCAGTAGTAATTAGCTAAAACATGAGCAGAGTTTACACTGTTTCCAAGACATGAACATGTGGTCTGTGTTTACTGGGTGAGGCTCATCCTTGGCTGTGGGCTGCACAGTGCCATCTCTCTGGTGGAGACCGGACACACAGAGCAGACAGTGGTCTCGGAGAGCATTCCACGTGGTGGTCAAGTTGTCTCTTTCTCTTTTTTTCTCCCCACTCTTTCTCACCTCCATTCCTCCCCCATGCTGTTTTTGCTACATTTGCTGTTTTAACCTGTCAGTTACAAAATAATTAGTATGTCACTGTGGCTGGCGGCTCATACAGGAAAAATCTGCCGTCTCTTAATGAAAGGTGATTACAGTCTTCCCTGTCTGTAAACGTGCTTGTTGAGGGGCGAGAGTGCATTAGTCTCAGGCTGGTGTGCGAAATGAAGCAGCAAGAAGCAGCAGCATTGCTGTCACTCCAGGCGTGTCTAATGAACTGTGTTTGCATGTTCTGGTGGTCACGGCAGAGAGTGCCCTCACCAGGGCTGAGCTTCCTATAAAATGCTCCATAAGATTAGTGCAGCAAGAACAAAAATGCTGGCTAAGTGGGGGTCGGGGGAGAATGCCATGGAGGCAGCTGCATCTCAGCTATAGCGGGAGATTGCTCAGTGACGGTACTGACAGACAACTGTTTGAGCTTCAGTGTTCAAGGCAGCCTGGGGACCCATCCCCCAGAATTTTAGTAGCTGTAGTGTGTATTAGGTTTCAGAGCAGGTCACCTCTGAAGAGTAGGAGGAAAGAAATGGTTTTAATTTCTTCTGTTTCATTGAAACCCAAGGATTGAGTCTTGTTGACTAACATAACCATCTTAGAGGAAGTTGTCTGAAGCATTGCTGGGTTTAAGTGAAAATGCCATAACTGAATCACATGTGTGTGTGCTATATAACATGTATGTCTATCATATATGTGTGCATCTTATATATCAATCACAAGTATGGTTTTCATTAACGTTGGACAGTTCGTGGTGCCTAGACTGGTAGTTTACACCTACAGTCCTAGAGCTCTGGCAGCTGAAGCAGTAGGATTGTCAAGAGTTTGAGGCTAGCCGGGGCTACACTGTGAGACTCTGCTCAAAACCAAACAACTCTCCCCAATTTAATTCATATCTCATGATGATCCTTTGTAATTTCTGAACAAGTAGCCATTTAATAAACACCCTTACATAAGACATTTACATGAAGCCTGGAGTTAACAGTGAGGTGCAGACCGCCCTCCAAGGAGCTAGAGGTCACTACCAGTGGCTGCCTTCCAGACCCTTGTTCATTTACACTTTTTTAAAAAACTACATTAAGAATATAAGATAACATAGTAATGATCATTGTAAAATGCTTGAAAAGACTGGTGAATGGGGGTGAGCTTGGACTTTGGATGTCATTGTGACACTTGACTATTTCTCTTTCAGTGTGAGGATCACAGCAACATGGGGCTGTTTTCTGCACAGCTGTCTTCTGAAGGTCTTTTTCAGTGTATCCAGAAATCTAATTCTCTGACCTCCTTTAGTTGAAAATTTACTGGCTTAACACGAGTCCTGTGATCCATTGAAATGCTAACGCAGGTCATGTCTCAGCTGCCACAGCGCTGAGCAGAAACCTTCATTAAAATTCTGGTTATCCTGCAACTGGCAGAGGACCCATGCTGTTAGAGATTCTTGAGGAAGACATTAGGCTGGTGAAATAGCACGTCACAGCCTCACTCCAGTCTGCTGAACATCAGCAGGGCTGTCATCCTCTGACGCCGCAGATAGGTCAGGACAAACAGCATTTCCAGATCTGTCTTCTGTTATTAATATTTATCCTCTGCTCTTTAGTTGACTTACGAATTAACAGTGGAAAAGCTAAATCCATTTCTGATACAGATTTGTTAAGTGATACCAAGTATTCTACATCCATAAGCAGTTCAAGAGAGCAGTGTACTGAGAGGGTTGGATCTGATATAAATACGTCCTTTTAGTTATTAATGACTTAAAATAGATTTTACAAGGCAATCAATGACAGCAAAATGATGATCAGTCAATGATACTGTGTGTAATTGGATTTTTTATGGGAATGATACTATATTTCAGAATAAATGTGACATTATGCTACTTTGTTACTCAGTTTTTTGTTGTCAATTTTTTAGAAATCAGATATGTCAAAAATTCTCTAAGTATCATTTGGCACAGTCCGTAAGTGAAATTGGTAAATGTTGTCTTGTTGCAATGTGTGCTCACTTTATAGTTCTCAGGAAGTAGATGTGCAAATTGGAAAGTTTCGTTTTTAACTACAGTTGTATGCATTGAACAGCATAGTTGAAACAAAGACAAGTAGCAGATTCTCATCTCCCTTTAGATTCCTGTTCCCTTGGCTATATGTCACTGCAAACCTAACAAAGGATGGTCCTCTCCTGTGCCTTGCTTTTAAAAAGTCTGTATTTGTGGGGTCCAAACAGAATGTGCTTTTCAGTAGTTTAGTGGCTGAATGAGGAGCTGTATTTCCAGCTAGTCGTCCTCCCCCCCCCCTCCCCCAGTGGCCAGTGCTCTTGCTGAGCTCCATGATCTGAACAATAGGTTTCAGTAGTTTTGATGCCTGAGGTTAAAACGCAGTGGGGGAGTAAGGAGTGTTTCTGATGTTCTAGATGTTCATTTCAGCTTTTGCTGCAATGTGATGCATTAAGGGAAATATGTATCATAGTTCAGAGGGAGCCTGTATTCTTTGAAAGCAATTCTATTTGAGAGCCAAGTGCTACGGTCCTTCCCCACCCTCCTGGGTTTCTCCTCATCATCACTTTTTCTCATGGGGGCCAGAATGGTGTCATCACTTTTCCGTATGGGCAGAATGGTGTTTGCTGGGAAATTGCAAGCCACTGAGTGTTTTCTGCCATATTGACACCTTTTATATGGCCTTTCTCTTAAAGAAGCATATTAATTCTGCAAGATGCAATGTTTTAAAAGTTGGGAAAACAAATTATGACAATTTTGAGTGTTTGAACACTGACCAGTAATTATCGCTATTTAAAATTTCCTTTATAGAATAGTCTCTTCTGAAAAGTGTTTAGTACTTTTACAGTTTATCTGAAAGAGCTAAGCACAACACTTTAAACAGATACTGAGTGTGGCTTTGCAGTCACCACAGCAAGGTAACCCTGTGCCAAGAGCCTGTGTGTGCACACAGCAGCTGTGGCTGTGCTTTTATTTGCCATTCTTAATTCGGCTGTAACAGTTACAATAGCTGGAGGGGAGTGTTTTGTTTAGGAATTCTTTGTTTTGATTGACATTTTCCAGTCATTTATTATACAGAGCTATTTGATTTCTTGTGCCTTTTTCTTCTGATACAAAAAGAATTTTAAGTTGATAAATACAGTCTACAAAACAGTTTTCTTATTGCTTTTTTATTCATACAGAAATAACATTTAACTCTGAAGCTTGGAGTATAGATTTAAAATGTTGTATTTATCACTGAATGATTTGTGGGGTTCATGAAGAGAAAGCCCAATTCCTGTAGGTGTTTTCACACAATTTGTGACCATTGCCTTTGTCCCCAGACTGTAGGTTTCCTTCTCAGGAGAGCCTAAATCCACTCAATATCCAGTTGCAAACCTCAGTTAAGTACTGTGAAGCACTGCCTTGACTCTGAAAGAGATTCCACCTGCCTCCATCTCCCAAATGTCTGTCTTTTATTTTATTTTATTTTTCTATCTTGAATCAAACCAATTTAACTTAAAATGAACTTACCTCTTTTGTAGCCCCCTCCAATTGTATAATTATGAAAACAAAAAGAACTTTAGGACTGCATGGGCATTGGGTTCTCTTGGAATTACTTGTTGGTCCGGCATAAATTACTCAAAGCTAACATGCTATTTTTCCCAAATGTCAAGCATTTGTAAAATTACAAGTCCAAGAAAGAATTTGATATTGTAGTAAGAATTAATTTTTAGCAATATCTAAATTCTGTAAAATCCCATCTAGATAGACTTTTATGTAGCTGCGTATAATTCATATGCTTTTGAGACTCGCCTCCCCAATCTCAGTTTTACTGTATGACATTTTTTTTTTTTTTTTTTTTTACTTTCCAATAGATATCTGTCAGAATTAATCTTTGAGACTTGGGGAAGTTGCTTTGAGAGTTTCAGAAATGACTCACATTTTGAAGGTTGGGGAGGCTGTTGGGAGTGCCATGGCCCTGTGAGCATGCTGGAAAGGCTGAGCCCTGTTCTGTTTTCCTGCATCCCCACCCTGGGCTGAGGACAGTATTTCCCTTTCCCTGTCTGTTCCCTGAGATTGAGATGAAATCCTTGGAATGAGCTCATTAACTTTTAGAAAAATGTGTCAAAGTTTCTTTTTATTTGGATGTCCTTTTTACTGGTTCTTTTTTTTTTCTTTTTTCTTGTTTCTTTTCAGTTGTGGAAGAAGGACTCTGGGAAAATGGCCTTTCCTATGAATGTAGGACGCTGCTCTTCAAAGCAATCCACAATCTGTTAGAAAGGTAAGAAAGGGGCAGTGGCGTGGCTCTGCGCTCAGGAGAGCCCAGAGTCCACTGGGCATTAGAGATGGGTCGTTTGTCGTGTGAGAGTTAAGTTTTCATATTTACTTTAGTTTATAGTGATAGCAAAGTTTAGTGGCAGTATATAGAACTTCTGTATTCCCCCTCAGTCTATACGCATTTCTTGTTCAGTTTTTAGTTTATTTCTGGAATCATTCACAGACTTGCCATCAATGTTCGTTTTACTCTTTGAATAGTATGTGTAAATTTCCTGAGGTCAAGTCTGTCTCTCATAGGATCACAAAGCTGATGAAACTGTTTCCTCTAACCCTCAGTATAATTGAGATGCTGTCGGTTGTTCAGTTACTACATTTTCTGCAACAAGTTCAAGATCTAAACTATAATAATACATTGTTTAGTTTTCATAGCTCTTCAAATCTAGGAAAGTTCTTTCTCTCCTAATGTTCTTGTTGATACTGCCATTTTTGATGAGTGAGGGCTTAGCTTGGCCCCTCAGTTTGAGGCAGTTTCTTGTGATTTGATTAAGCTTATGCTTTTTAGTAGGAGTGCCATGGAAGTGAGGCTCTACCTACCCTGAGTGTCAGCGCATCTGACACATGTCAGTGTTGTCTGTCAGTGATGTTAGAATCTGCAGTCACTTGATTGGAGTGATGTTCTCTGTCAGGTTTCTTCACTCTAAATTAGAATTTTGCCAACTGTGATCCTGGGCAGCCTCATTCCTGTTGTAAGTTGTGACAGATGCAGTGGGACTGGCATTTCCCCTCTTCTAAATCCCGCTCACTTGCTTTAGCACCTGCTGAAGGTCCTTGCTGGAATCATTATTACCGTTATGACTATAATATTGATTTGAAATGTCACCATTTCTTTTCTTATTACTTGGCAATCTGTTATGAAGAAGAAGTCTTCATTTTTGCAATAGTCAGTCCCTCTACTTCTTCTCTCCCTGCTCTTCCATCTCCTTCTTGTTCTCCTCCCCCATAGATCTAGTCACATGCATAAACATATTTGGGTTCTTTGAGCTGGTCTGGCAGCACACACGTGTAGTTGCATGACTTCAGAAGTAAAAGCCAGAGGGTCAGGAGCTCACGGCCAACCTGGAATCCTTTGGGTGTTTAGAGAGCTATTGTTAAAACAGACCTTCATGTTCATGGAGTCGTGTTTTATTCATAGGTTAGAATTCATTGCTATCATTTAGGCTGAGTGCACATTCTTGCAGAGCTGACTGAAAACTGTTGACTGGAGTTGTTCTCTGACACCGTTACTGTTGGAGTGCTCCCTTGCCTTCTGATGCAGGAGTCTTTCCAGGCTCTCAGTGGTGTTTTGAGGGGAGACCCAGATGACTAAGAATGGCTTAGCTAAGAGCCTCAGTGGGAATCCATGTTCCCTTCTCTGGAATCTGCAGACAATGCTCAGACAAAGCTGGAAGGACATTGAAGAACTGTCAAATTTATACTCCAGCTGTTGGCTAAGGGTGATAGCCAGAGGGCATCATCTGAGCCATTTAAAAAGCCTTTTCCTTTCAAAGGCTGTACTTCCTTTAGATGGTGGGTCCTTACACTACTTTGCTCTGTAATTTTCTGCAGAGGTGCCACATGTCTGAAGAAACATTGACTTGAAGATCAAATAATCATCAATGAAATATTTGACAATTTTTGTTCCTCTGCCAAGTAAACAAGAACAAAAGTACACCCAAAACCCATTCTGGAAAATAGTAAAAATATACCATTTGCATAATCCTATGTCTTATAAAGGGCTCATCAAGAATATGCCTTTAAATAGGGTTCTGGGGTATACTAAACAAAGCATATTTTTAGTATTGTGTCTTTAGATCATGATTGGTACCCTCCAGAAAAACATAACTTTTTTTCAGTCCTATGTTTTAGCGTTTTTATTTGTTGGGAGACAATTAGAAGAATAGAAAAACCGAGTCTAAGGACATTATCTAAGTTACTTATTCAAGGTTTCTGAGTTTAGAATTTATGTTGGGAATTAAGGCATGAGTCTAGTTGAACCATTATTTTTAAGAAAATTGATTGTGACATACAATAAAATGTGGGTCTCAGTTCGGCTGAAAGTCTGTCAGCACTCAGCCTTACGTGAGCAGCCTATGGTTGGGGTGGTGGGTGGCACTTCAGTGTCCATTACGTGCAGAATCTATCTCATATACTCTCGTCATAATAATTACTTTCTATATATTTCATTATTTTGTTATATGATAAAATAGTCGCAGGATAGCCTATCTGAGATTCCTCTGGGAGTCGGTTCTGAGACTGTGAGCTGGGCAGACTTTACCTGAGAAAACACTTGACCTGGCTTTCTTACTCAGGTAATTCAAGGCCCTTTTGAAAAATCTGTGGCTCCGGTCCAGTAACATAGTCACTTACTGTTCTTCAAACTTGAAGTGGCTACATTGTGTGAATAAAAATTATCCTACTTGTGAGTCAGGAAAGCATTGTAAGTGGTGGTCCCTATTTCTCTTTATTCACTGCCAGCAGAATCTGGATGGCAAATCCATACTTTACCTTTGAGTTTTTCCATCATTTAGATCACTGGCTGTAATGGTTTCTCAGTCTGAGATGTAGTTTGGTGTCTACTTTCTTCAGTTTGTGTTGCGCTTTTCTGCTTGTGCTCAGGGAAGGTTGGCCTGGCTTTCCAGTGTGAGTTCTGAGTTCCTGGCATGCAAACTGATGAGTGGCTCACTGGCTGTCTTGTGTGCTTTCTAAATTATTTTTTTGTTTAGTTTATGTATTAACAAAACTTGAACAGGTGATTTATTCTGCTTTTTATTTTTAAGTACAAAGATACTTAGTTAAGAGGAAACTCCATTCACTACCTTGAGAAGCTCTTGCTTAGGTATGAGAAGGAGCTGTATAAACTGATCTCTGTGAAAGGCTTGGCAGAATGATGTCACTGCAGTGACTTGTTAAGGACAGTTTCACTCCAGGAGTGAAGTAATACTGTCGTTTTCACACAGAAGAACATTGCATTCTGGACTACGATTGATGGTACTGAAGCACCACTCTATTGATATTCTGTAGGTGATTTTAAATTGTAAGCAATATGACTTCAGATACTCATTTCTCTTGTTACTGTTCAGTGTTTGCCTGCCCTGTAATATGCACTTCCGGCTGGAGTCATTTGTCCATTTAGAAACAAACAAGTCCACACACTACTCTTGTGGACATTTGCATAAAAGTGTCAGACTGAAGAGAACATTTATGGTTATAGTTTTCTGTTTGTTTTGTTGTTGTTGTTGTTGGTTTTTTTGTTTGTTTGTTTGTTTTTTCCTAGATACCCTTTTCTAGAAATCCTTTCTTTATTACCTGCAGAGAAAAGAGGTGTTTTGGATCTCAGCTCCATCACCTAACCTACCATGATGCAGGCCTTGGCCCAGCGCACTGCTTTTCTCATTATGAGAGCTCTGTGTTTGGCTGACTGCCCTTACAGCTAAGAGAAGGACAGTAACGATTGCTATTTTCAGAGTGGAAACAACAGTGCTAGTTCTCAGGATTCTGGTCTGTAATGTCCTTCTTCTGTGGTCCCCCTTTCTTGAGTATTTCTGTCATCTGAGCGGTTTCTGAAGGAGTTTGTTTCATCCTCAGAGAACACTTAGTGTTAGATTGTGATTTGCACTAAGCAGAGTGGAAATTTCCTTTCCTATTGCTTTCATGGTTTTATTTTAAAAGCTGTCCTCTGGGCCTTATTCAGTAATCTTTTAAAAAGTATTATAGTGGAGATTAAATTTTTTTTAAGATTTATTAATTTTATTTCTATGACTGTTTTACGTGTGTGTATATGTGTGCACCAAGTGCATACCTTCAGAAGCCAGAAGAGGGCAGCTGATTCCACTAAACTGGAATTATAGATAGTTGTGAGCTGCTGTGAGTGATAGGAACTGAACTCATGTCCTCTGGAAGGACAAGTGCTCTTAACCTTTGACTATCTCTTTAGCCCCATATTGTCTCTGTCTAATGCTCCGTCCATGTAGTTGCTTGTTTGATAATCAAACCCAAGTTCACAGCCCCATGTTTGTAGTTCTTATGAAATTGAACTCTTTCCCTCCTTCCAGCCTTCTACCCAAGTCACTCTCCATTGGCCACATTCTTTTCATTTTGGTGGTCACTGGCCTGCTTTAAATGTCTTGTCTTGCTATTGCCTCTTTCACCAGTCCTGCTCGGCTCAAGGATGCTATATTATCAGAAGTCAAAGCACCCCTATCCTTCATAGTAGAGGCTGATTGTGTACTTGCAGTGCTGTCAGCTAGCTGATCCAGGCCCCTGGTGCTGAGCAGCAGACTCTGCCTCTCCTTGCAGGATTCCTGTTAGAGTGCAAAGAGCACTGGCAACTCAGGAGCTGCAAGCCTGTGGTGCATCTGCCTGAAGTAATGCATACTATGTCTGCTCATATATCCTCAGCTAAGACACAGGCCACAAGGCTGAAATGGATGACAAAGTAGAATCTACAAGGGAGAGATCAAAGTTACATGACCATGCTGGATGTCAGTGGAATGATAGTCTATCTTCCAGTTAGCAGCTGTTTATGACATGGGAACAGAAAGATTTCTGGAGAGGGAGAGACAGAGATGAGACAGAGACAGACAGACAGACAGAGACATACTTACAGAGAGAGACAGACAGAGAATGTATTTGGAACTCTCTTTGCTTCTTTAGGTTTTGTCTTTGTGACTTCTTAGTCAGAACTTGAGAAATGGAGCTTGCCAGAATTTACTGTTTTAGATATTTTCCATGTCTTTTGAGAAAGTAAGCATGCTTCCTATTTTTTAAAGGCCAATTATCTTTTGGCTAAATGCCCAGGATGATAGAATACCTTTAATTTGCTTTTTATTTATCTAGAATTAGAATCCCTTGCCATTGAGCCTAGCCCATCCCCCTCTTTTAGTCTTTCCCCACCGTGTAAGAACATATGAGCGTAGATTGCTCTCCACTGTCCAACCTCGTTCATCCTGCTGGTGGCCACGCTGTGTGGCACTCGGGACTGCTTCTTCCTCATGGAAAACAAGGGTGTGTAGTAGCTCTTCAGGAGCTCTGTGATAACTTATATTTCAAACACCTTGACTGGTTCCCTTACTGTAGTTGATATGGATTTTCATGATGTATCATATTCTATTACCTGTCTATGAAAAGGAAGTAAAAATATTTGGAAAAAAAAAAAAACAGAGAATGTGTATATTTCAAAAACGCAGAGTAGTTTTTTTGTTTGTCTGCTTGTTTGTTTTTTGATACTGGAGCAGCTTGTCTCTGTGACAGTGTAGAAAACCCAAAACATCTGGCATACTGCCAGGTTGGCATTAGGTTTGTTACTCTGATTTTAATTTGTAACTGCCTGAAGGCTTTGGAATAAGATGTACTTGTTAATTTTATGGGGGCTTCTTGCTGTCCTAGATGTCAGGTCACAGCTGCTTTGCATACACTGGACGATGACTGGAGGGAGTCTTTTGAAGTTGTATGCTTGGTCATGCCATTTGTGTACAGAGGAAAACTTGGCAGTGTGGACTTTGACATCTAGGAATGATGGTGCTCTACCTGGAAGTATACTGGTGCCACGTGACTAATGGCTGCCCGGCTTCCCTATGCTCTTAATAGTGACTGAGGAAGTAAGGGAGAATAATGTGGGCATTGGAGCTGCACCTACACCACAGCATGCCCACGCACTCTGGGCTCCGCTGTTTTATGTGGGTTAGAGATGTAGCGCAGCACTTACAGTCAGTGGATCTCAGTGACAGGTGCAGCTGTAGTTGGAGAAATGGTTATATGACATGGCAACATCTGGTGCCCTTGGGAGTCACATGTAAGAGTGCAAGAAATGCATCATGGGGGAATAGTCTTTAGATTAAGGCGGCGTATATAAGTCTAAAAACCTAGAAACCAGTGGCTGAAAGGCCGGGGAGGAAGGTAGCACTGAGCGTATGTGGCATGCAGGTAGGTAGGATGCCATCTGTGGGTAGCTGTGAAAACAGAAGGTGAAATCAAGATGCCATTGGCCTGCAGCTGTAGAGGAGGAGCGCTATGCTTGGGTTTGAGTCTCTGTCAGAGTGCTGGCCAGGTGGCCTTCCTTCTGCTCCTCTCAGCTGCCCCATCTGGGAAGTAACTTGCTGGCTTAGTTTGTGGCTGCTGCCCAAGCACTTGTGACCCTGAATCAGGTCTGCCCAGGCTTTGGGAGCAGAGATGAGAACTCACACATTGCAATTTTTAATTCAGAACCAAGTGGCACAACCCAGGAACACCACATGCTCTCACTCACAGAACTTACTTTCATTTTCCAGCACCATGGCATTCCCCTTGAAATGGTGACCCTGAAGGTACAGACACTTAAAGAGATCATCTTCTCCGCTGTTGCCTGACATTGTCACCCTCTTGCCTCACACAGTTGCCTTTCAAAGTGGAGTCAACCTGCCTTACAGAAGGATGCCATCTTCATAGGAAACTGCTTTTGAAAATGTTGCTGAGACACAGGGTGACTGTAACACACAGCTGGTGGGGACTGCGGTGGTGTTGTGAGATGTTTCTCGGCAGATGGAGTTGTCTGCAGGGTTGATGTAAACCCTGTAAATACAAATGTTGACCCTCCTCCCCCAAAGAGCAACGAGTGGTGTATTTCTGGTGTTTTTATATTTTAAAACTACCTTTCTTTAAAACATTCGCCTAATTATGTTCTTTGAATATAATTAATGAATTTTGTAATGGTGTTGATGCTGAGCTTCAGTGCTTCAGTGCTGAGCTACTGTGCTTTGAGGCTGTACTGTGGAGTGACAGGCTATGAAGAGGTGACATTGCATTCCCAGTCCCTGGGTGCCTCATGGTAAGAGCACACACAGCAGACACGGCCAGAAGAGTGCTTTGTGTTATGAACAGGAAAATCATCGTCAGTGTGTGTAACACTCGTGCCAGCTCTCGGTCAAGCATTACACAGTGTAGAACAGAGCCCAGACTGTGCCACGTCACAGGCATTTAACTACCTGTTGAATAGTCACTGTCACAGCCACAGCTCTTCCAGGAAGGGTTGCAGAGAAGTGAGTCATCACAGCTGAGTGGAGAAACCAGAGGCTTCATCAGAGACAGGGATAGTCTTTGGGGCTTAAATAAGAGGAGAGGGCCATAGGGCAGTAAGGGGATCCCTGGCTCAGTGTCTGTGGGGCTGTTGACTATGGGAACTCGGCTCTGTGGCAGAGAGCTGCCATGCCTTGAGCTGCATGGCTGCCGCCTTCTGCTGTGCATTACTTTGTTGCAGGTGTTAGCAGAGCTTTTGTTATACTTCTTCCTGGTTTCTTTTCAGACTGCACATCTGCTTCACTGCAGTCTGCTGTGGAATCAGCTCTCCCCAGGTGCTGGTCTGGCCACAGAACCATCTTCCATAGGGTAGTCACAGCTCTTCCTTTTCCCCACAAAGCTTACAGTTCACAACATCATGTTCACTTTCCTTTTACCTCAGAGGAGTTGTGTATAGATCTCTACCCCAAGCCCAGCACAATTTTATCCAATGCAGTTCTCTACACAGTGATGTTTGCTGGTGGGGGTGACCCCATGCCTGTTACCACTGCTTTTATTCTGTGTACTTTGGATTTCAAGGTAGATACTCAGTAACAGCTTTTACCAAGTAAAGAAATACCTGTGTGCTAATTCAGTTATGAGATGAACCTGTGCTTAAGAAAAGAAGCAGCTGGACAGTGGTATTGCACGCCTGTAATCCTAGCACTTAGGAGGCAGAGACAGGTGGATCTCTGAATTTGAGGCCAGCCTGGTTTCTAGAGTGAGTTCTAGGACAGCCAGGGCTACACAGAAAAACTCTGTCTAGAAAAACCAAATCAAACCAAAACAAAACAAAAAGGAGAAAGAGGAGGAGGAGAGGAGGAGAAGGTGGTAGTGGCGGTGGTGGCATTAGGGAATGTTACAGAGCAGTCACTTATGTCCTGGCCATGTGCACAGATGTGTCTGGGCCAGTAGCAGCTCCCTCCACCCTGGTGACCTATGACCTTGCTGGGAGACATTCATTCCCTCTCTGCCTTAGCAGTGGACACTGTGAACTCATCTCTACCCACCTGTGGTGGGGACTGCAGGTATGATGCTAGTAGCTATTGGTTGTTGCTGGACTGCAGTCTGTGGCCATGTCTGTTCAGGAGTGATGGAGACTGACTGGGAAGAACCTGTCAATGCTTGACAGTGTCACTTCTTGTGACCTTTTCCTTAGGTAGTGGCTTCATATTTTCTGTTCAAAATTCCATATATTCATAATGTCTATCACTTAGAGGCATGAAATCAGATTGGGTCACTTTGGAAATGATTTTCTTTACTATGAACAAGGGAGCTCACACACTTTCAAGATAAATCCAGTGATATTTAATTGTTCTAAATTGACTCTGTGCAAAGGGAGCTATCCTGTGACCAGAAACTGTTGCCTGCCATTTACTAACTCATTTAACCTATAATGGAATGGGTGAGGGCTTGAATTGTTTCTATAGTCCTTGATGATGTGGGGACGACAGAGACAAGAGCTAAGTCCAGATCTGCCTGAATATTGAGATAGGAATTGCTGTCTGGCTCTCATAGGTACTTATACAAAAGAATTCCATGCAGCATTCTGACAGCTTTTCTTCAAAATGTAGATCGTTTCATTGACTGAAATTGAGAGATCATTGTATTCCGTCAAGTTCAGAATGCCCATTTTCTTTCACATTTTGTATTTTTAAAGATCAAGGGCACTTACAGTCTGTGGCCTCTCATCCATTGTGTAGATGATAGAGTTGTCATTTGCCTGCACATGAGTGAACTTGGTCATAAGCGTATTGTCACTTCAGTTGAATTGTCTGCACTATTGGTATTATGTGTGGTGGGTTCAATTATTATTAACATGTCCTTAAAAGAATTCCTTTGACTTGACAGCAAAACACACAAACAGAAATGCCATGGAGACAGAAGCCAGGCACAACCAAGACTGAGTGAAGCAGACAGTTTGTGCTTGGAAGACTAATGTCAAGTCTTCATTTTCCTGTGCAGTGTCTTTGTGCCCTCAAAAAGAAAGTGCCAGGGCCGATGATGAGCTGTGCTAAAGTTTTGTTATTGGTGTCCTTGCTAAAGGAGTAATCACTAGTCACAAGCAAACCCTGAGCCCAGCTTACAGGAGGCGTTGCAGTGGCTTGAAAGTGTCCTTAAGTTTCCTCACTCTGACCTTGGTAATACAGGAACTTTTGTCTTACATACTTGTGATCTGACATTACAGAGTTTTGGAAACACTCTGACTATTTTGCTTGCTTGTCATACCCCCTCTCCCATAGGCATTAAAAACACATACCCAAAGTTCTGAGTTCTTTCAGCATGAGAAAACATTTTGACATTGGACTAGTGGTATTCGAGTTTCTGTTCGCCTCTCATCTGTGTTGTTGACAGTGCTGAGCTAATTTGTTCCTGAGTCTGTGAAGGTAATTCCTGATGTGCTTATTGTAGGTGCCTAATGGATAAGAACTTCGTGAGAATCGGGAAGTGGTTTGTGCGGCCCTATGACAAAGATGAAAAGCCAGTCAACAAAAGGTCAGTCTTCAGGATGCTCTTGGTGTTTGCCTTCTCTTCCTTGATCGCGCCCACCTGCTTTTGGTCTTAGGTGGAAGGGGTTGGTGTATTTATATCTTAATGTTGTTCCTGGGCTACTATCCTATCACATACTGCATGCTTGTGGCTGGATATTAAGATGATATGGCCATGTGATCATGAGTGAGGTCCTGTCGAAGCTACTCTTCACTGCATGGCTTGTTGTTGAGACATCCTAGCATGTTATTTTTGTTATTCTGTTTTTCCTTCCTTAAACTGTTACTTAACATAACCTAAGAATAGTTTAAGTGACTTAAATGGTGAAAATTTGTATGGTGCCACCCAGGTGCTCTGTGCTCATTGAACACAGTCTGATGACTGTCAAGAGCAGGACTGTGGATTATGATCCCAGTTAGCCATAGCCTACATTTTCAGTGAATATGGACTTTGCTGCTAAATAGGCATGAATTTTAGATCAACAAGAGCAGAACAAAATGACTCCATTTTAATATTCCTTACCTGATCAGTCTAGTTATAATAGGAATAGGTTAATAAAGATACAGCACGACCTTCCCCCCTTCCCCAATCATTTTTTTTTTCTTTTTTTCTTCCTTTTTACCCTAGGGCTGAAGCACAGGGTCTCTTGCCTTTTCCCACTGAGCTGTACACCTGAGATACACCACCTCCATTCTGTTTTATTGTCTAGGTACCCTACAGTAGGGACTTAGCTGCTGGTTGCAAGTTGGAGTCCATTTTAGAGTGAAGCTTGTGTTCATAATCATACTGGCAAACCTTTGTTCGGTCTTGAGGTTAGAGGTCCCATTAGTAGCTTCCCAGCTCATCATAATTTAGTGAGTGGTTGCTGGAAGGTTCCAGATTGGGGGTCAGAAGGATAGTGGTGGGTTGCTGGGGTATAGAATTGTTTTAAAGTTATTATGGGCATGAGCAGCAGCATGACAGGAATTCAGAGGAGACTTCAGGCCCAGCATCCAACAGACAGCATGGCAGGCTCTGTGAAGAGATGAATTGGAACCCATGTGGCAGAATTGGGAGCCTCTTCTATCTGACTGAGGATCAAGGTAGATTCACAACACAAACCTAATGCCAGAGCTTCTGGCTAGAACAGGGATGTATGGAGTGGGGTGGGGAGGGGGGTGGAACAGGATTGTAGCAGCCTACCTACTGTGATGTAAGCTCATGTCCCAGTCCTGCCTCTACCAGTGCATCTGTTAGCTGGAGACTCAGATGTCTTAACAGATCATCTGTCTGTCCTCATGAGAGGGGAAGAAAGACTGTTGCCAGTACTGTGGTATTTTTGTGTGTTAAATGTATTTAAGTATATCCACAGACATGCATAAAATAAACACTGATCTGCTTCCCCCTACCCAGACCATATTGGTTTTGTTCAAAGTAGAAAATAACTTCTTCACTCACCACCTTGGGGCTTAATGGCGCTTCTGGAAGCCATATCTACAGGTGGGGCTGAGGATGACATTAGCAGAGTATTGGCCATCTGATTAAGAAGGAGAAAGTTTAGAGACCCAGTGAGAGTTAGGGGTCTGCAGCCACACAACACAGCTGATGCCCACTGTGCTTTGATGATTGTTGCTTAGCAGTGAGTTCAGTCCCTTGGGGGAAAGGTTACCTGAAAGCTGAATATTGACTACTCACGGCTCTTGCTTGCCTGGACACGATTAGTAAGATTGGTCAATGTGCAATTTAGTTCCATTTCAAGAGGAATGATTATATGTTCCTTACTTTTTAGAGCTACCTTAATACAGTGGATTTTGTGAAGTATGTGAGCCTTTAAGAATATTCAGAAAATATATCTGCCTTGAAGGCCAGTTCCACAGGGTCTTCTCACAGGCTAAAGATCACCATGTCTTATATTTTAGACATCATTGTTTTCTTATTTACACATGTATTTAATGTGTGCTTTTTATGAAATGACCACCCAGAGTCCATCTGTCAAAAGATAAAGAACATTTTCTTAATTTTAAGTTGAAAATTAGGTAAGTATAAATTAATTTTCTAACATTGCTAAAAAAAAGTGAGAATCAAGATTATTATTTATATTTTCTAGTTATAGGCTACCATGTGTCCTTGTGACCTATATTATTAATTCTAAGTAAAATCATTTATTATAACACATTCAAAATGAATCAGTTTTTAGAATCATCTAACATTCTTGCTTAGAAAGAATTACAGTTACATTTGATTTTTTTATTTCTATAATATATATGTTTTTTTATAGTAAAAATTTAATTAAGACCATTGCAACACTGGCATACAAGAAGTGCTTAGTGGAAAAGTGCTTAGTGGAAAAATTGGTGTATGTATTTGTATGTTTGTGTGTGAGTATATACACATATATATGTCTATATGTATATACATGTATATATGCACACATACATACCAATTTTATATACATATATATGTATACACACTTATATACATATATATATGTATATACACATACATGAAATCATTTTAATTCCTTTTATTTCCTATTTCTCTATTATAAGCACACTTTCCTTTATGTTCTTAAACAGTTAAAAAATACTGTGATAATGCTGCTTATGAAATAAAGTACATCCACCAGCTCCATTGGCTGACTTTTCTCTCTGGAATGGGCGGTCTTTTACTCTTCCTTCCAAATCATTTTGAATTATGGAAAGTGTAAATGCTGTAAACTCTGCTTCCTGAATGTTTGAATCGTTTGGTCTTGGCCCTGGCCCCTTCCCAGTCCCCTTCCTGTCTTTTTTTTTTTCCCCCAAGCAAACAGTTAACGGACCAGATGTATCTTCTTTTAACCTAGGAGTGTTCAGCCTTGGCACTGTTGGCCTTGAGTTGAGTGAGTGTTGTCGGTACTGTGGTGGGATGATGAACTGCGCCTTTGGCTTCTCCCTACATGGTACAGTTGTACCCTCTTCCACCGGTCAGGACAGCCTCGGATATCTGTGTCACAGTTTTCTGGGAAGTGGATGCCCCAGTTAAGAAGGGACAGTTGGCCTTGTGCACAGAGGCTGGGTGTTGTTTCTGCTTCCTTCTTTCCGGGATTTCCCTTCTCATTTCATCAGATTTGCTCTTTGGGATTCCAGCACTCCAGTTCTTCAAGCTACTCGAACAACAACAAAACTCAGGGTGGTGGCTGTCTGATGTCATTCAGTCCACCTCCACCCTATGTGCTGTTTAATAAGGGGAGAAGGGTCTCAGGACACACGTGGGACACATGGCTCTCGTTCACACTCTTCTCCGGTACCTTCCTCTTGTATTGGACAGTTGAGCTCTTGGGAGATGCAGACGTTTTCTCCAGATCTTTGATGGTTTAGGGACAGGATGCTCTGGAAGGCTCTCCTTGTCATTGCTGAGAGTAGACACAATCTGCTTTGTGGTTGTTCTCTTGTGGCCTATACCCCATTAAGAGGCTGTCCTCAGGCTGAGACACCTTGGAAGGAGAAGCATTTTATCTAATTAGAGAAATGATAACTATTTTTGAAGTAATTTGGGCATTTGAGTGATGATGTGGATTTTTCCAGCTTAGTGTTTCATGCCTTCTCTTTTTTGGAAGGTGTCATTTGTAGTCAGGAAGTGTCCCCCCCCCCCTTCCTCTTAGATCTTGCTGCAAATGTTCCTAACATTCCTTCCAGTCTTCTCTCTAGAGTGAAATAGGATGAGAGAGCAGTTAGAAGAGAGGGGTCCTGGTGGTGATGAACTAACAGGGAGTTAGGCAGGCGTGGAGGATGGCGCCCAGGCTACCTGTTTGGTCTGAGCAGCTCCTAACCGGAGGTTTTTCTTAAAAGATGTGAGCAGTGTTTTCACAGTGGCAGGTGTGGCAAGAGGGGAAGCATTAAAGCATTGGGTGTCAGGATATCACTAGAATGTTTATTCCTGAAAAGACAAAAACATAGTTGGAAATTGGTCCTTTTTCTAACTTCCTCCCCAATATTTTCCCTTCCCAGTTAAATAGAACCTAAATAAAATAAAAATATTAAGGAAAAGGTTATATGCCTAAGTAACTAGGTTTGCCTAGTTTTTTGTTGTTGTTGTTGTTGTTTTTTGGTGTGTTTGGAAAAGGAGTTGTTTTAGGATTGAGTAAGATAACAAATAAGCTGTGTGCTGCAAGACTGAAGTGGCTGTGAGTCTGTCAGTAGTGCCCAGTGTGAGGTAGTAGCATTGTGAAAACCTTAAGAGTAAAATAAAGTTTAATTTTTTTTTTTTTAAATTTTGGTACTTTCTTGCACTGCAGACAGTGCTATTCAAGTATTTGAACTTCTAAGTGTACACACAATTGTGTTAATGAGCCATTTATTTCTACTGTGAATCTTTGTTGCTTTTGTTTTTGAGGCAAGGTCTCACCGTATAGCACTGGCTAGCCTAGAACTTGCTATGTAGAACAGGCTATTCTCACACTCGAGAGATCTGTCTACCTCTGCCTCCCGAGTGAGTGCTGGGATTGAAGACATGCACTATTTTGTATTTGCAAAGAACTCTTTCTCACTAAGTGTTTGAAATCACCTTGAGTCTTTTATATGTGAATTTTAAAGTGTGTTTATTAGTACTGTAATTCTCTTGCTAACATTTATGAACTCAAAAGGAGGACATTGTGCATTCTAATAATCTTGGTTGCTTGTTGGCATAGTTAAGAGTACTAAAGAAGATTATGAAAATAAAATCCCTAAGTATGTTCTTGGTCATTAAACATAGCTCTGAGCACCTGTCAGTATTTAATTCCATTTGCTTTGTGGTCATGACTACAGAGCTGGAGTATATGTGGTTCAGTAGTGTCCTGGAGTTGCGCCTTTGAGGTTGTTCAGTAGGTAAAGCTGCTTACTATTGAGTTTGATACTATAAAATTGGCCCCTGATTTCCATACTTCTAATCACAGATCTCACACACAGGTAAAATGTGCTAAACGCCGTGAGTACCTAGGCTGTTGTCTGCTCCTGCTCTGTGACCTTCTTCCTTCTGGTCTTGTGTTGCTTCCATTAGACAGGTCAGTC